TCGTGAGATCCTCTCGCTTTTTCTCTCCTTTCATTTTTGCCCCTCCTAGTCTGTCTTCCACGGAGCAGCCGGAGTGATCCTGATCTTTGAAATGAATGAACCAAATCTTGCGATTCCCCTGCTTAAAAATCCTTGGGTCGCGTCCTGTGGAGACCCCCAGTGGCGCTGAGGTCTCCAAGCTTTCTCCTTTCCAGAGCCGACTCTCACGGCGGTGGTCACTCTGTGGCCAAGGACCACCTGGCCCAACGGCACCTCTCAAACCCAGCGCCTCTCCACCATCTCTGACCGACCCAGGGTGGACGGCAGCAGCGAGACCGCCTCTCAAGTGTCACCATTTCTGAGGGCCAGAGAATCATTCGACTGGGACACACAGCATGGAGGACGGTCAGAGGGACAGCACTGTCCTTCCCCTTACAGGGCCCCTGAAAGCCGTCATGAGTTACAGGAAGAGACAGATGGCTTTGTGGAGACACGACAGGCTGTGAGAGGCCAGAAATCGGTTAATAAATGTCGCCCGCAGCTTCCCTGCCACCTTGGCCAGGAATGGCCTCCAGGCTTGGTCACCAGGTGGGTGAGAACTGCTAGGCCAGGTCAGTCCCAGCCCTGCCCGGAACCCCACCTGCACGGCAGGCCTGTGGCCCTGGCCAAGACAGGACAACCAGGACCAGGCACAGCCACATCTCCGCACACGAGGTCCGGGGCGTCAGGATTAATAAAACTTCAAAATAAAAATAGCACAATCAAGCTCAGTTAATTGTTTTTCCAAAGCCGGCTGACCATCCAGAGGACACACAATCCAGTGTGACAGAGCCCCTCACACTCCCACACAGAAGGCCTCATCTGCCACCAACGCAGATGACACCGAACACCTCACGAGAACTGTGACGCCCTGAGCCCACAAAATGTGGACAACATTTTGACAAGGTCTAATTCTTATTCAAAAACTCTGACAGCCACAGATTATAACTCTATAAAGCTTTTCCTTAAAGTTCTATTTCCAGAAACACAGCAGAAAGTCACTGGGAAATGCAGCGCCCTGGAACACATACCAGTCAGGGTGGGGTTGCCACCTACATTAGGAGACCCCCACACAGAGTGCCCCCCATGGAGGGCCCCCCACATAGCACCCCACGTGGAGCAACCTCACACAGCACCCCAAGCAGAGGTCCCCACGAAGAGCCCTCCACGGCCAAGCACCCCACACAGTGCCCCACGCAGAGCGCCCCAGGCGAGCGCCTCTTCCCAGCCCCTCTCCCCACAACCCACTGCAGTCCTGTCCCGCCCACCTGTACTGCAGACACCATGTGTCACACGAAAGCTGCCTAAAGAACACAGTGTCTACCGCAGTGACATACGGGTCTCAAAGGCCTCACTAACTAATACACTCCCATTCCGCAGCCCAAGGGACCGGCTGTCTCCTGTGAGACGGCCAGAGGCTGACCACTCAAGGCTGCAGCTCTAGGGCAACGCAGCTCTAGGGCGACCCAGCCCCGCGTCACCCCCACATTAGCACCTTCCTGGAACCCGGCCCAGGAGTCCCAGCCACAGCCCCATCACCGCCCCCGGCGGCCCAGGTTCCGATGCAGGGTAAACCCGGGGCTGCAGTGCGCCTCCTGGCCAGGGACAGGGCGGAAGGGCTTACTGAGGGGTCCAGGTGGAAAGCACGTCAGTGTCCCACGCACTTCGCATTAGCCGTAAACGCATGTTTTCATAAGCACGTGGTATCACACCCTAAATTGTCCCACCACTGTAAAAAATACTCCCTCACATGTCACTAACATAAAAATACACGAAGCTACCTTTATTGTGACCTCGTGATCAATTGATCTGGGCATAAAGATATTCAGGTTTGAATGATTCATTTGTCAGTAAGCTGTTCTATTTTTTAAGCTCAAGTTTTTGGGCGCGACAGCTCCTATGGGAAGTTTATTCCCTTAAGTCGAACCGAGATTAAATCCATTAAAAATAAAATACAAATATATGACTCCAAAACACTAAAACTAGTACAAAAAAGAAATAAACCAGTTGAATAATCAACATTCTGTAAAATACGGACCCTATTAATGGAAATTCACGAGTTAAAAATAAAAAGCCCTAGTTCGATTATTTAGAATAGCGGGTGTTTTGAAATCGAATACCCATAATCACATTTAGCTAAACATGCATGTGTATAAACACACATGTAATTTAAAAATCACAATAAAAACTTGTTTTCGTCCAAATTTTTAAACTAAGTTTGCGCAAAATGCTCAAAACCAAGGACGAACAGGTGGCGCACAGAGGGTCTTCAGAGCAATGAAACCACTGTGTCTGGCACTAACGGAACCCGGGAAACCCTGCAAAACCGCGCACTGCAGCCGGTACCAGCGCATCGCCCACGGTTTCAATCCACCACTGGCAACAAGCGTAGCGCGGTTCCGCCGGATGTTAGTAACAGGGAAGTGTGGGAGGCAACAGGGGTATATGGGAGCTCCGGTACATTCTGCGCAATTGTCCCGCATAGCTAAAGTCTTCTAAAATGTCTCTTGGAAGCCAAAACAATTTTCAAATATTACTAAACACCAAGTTTTTGTTGTGAGAACGAAAGCCAGAGCAGAATTCCTACTTATCACTTACAGACGTGCTGTGCACCTTTACAGCTTGAAGATGCGACCCTGGACACTCACAATCCTGAACTGGAAACGGCCCCAGGGAGGCCCAGCTGGGTGGGGATGAGGCTCACAGCCAGTTCGGGACCGAGGACCGGGGTGAGCTGACAGAGAGCGCGGCGACACCGTCAGCACTCTTCTGCCCCTTCAATACTGATTTTATTTGGTTTTGCTCCTACATTGCTTCCTGATGCCCCTTGCTATGGCAACCTGACGCCAGAAGCCACAGGACAATTTTCAGCAGAGAGGCGTCTGTGACAGACCCAGTGCTTGCTAAGGCATCAGAAGGGCTGAGAGAGGGAGCCAGGCCGCAGTGTCAACACCAGGACCAACCTGCTTCGAACTGCTCCACCCAGCCTCCCATTTCCACCACGCTGCCCCTGCCCGACCACTCCCACCAAGCGGGAATGGAAGCAGAAAATCCGACTTTGGGAATGGAAAACGTAACCAGGATCAGAGGAAGGAGAAACTCAATTGAGGAAAAGCTGAGGCTTAAGAAGAACCAACAGGCTGGCTAAGGGCAAGGACTGACTTGAAGTGGCTACCGAGGACAAAACTTACTCTAGGGCGACGGTCTCTGGGGCATCCCGCACAGAAGTGAAGGAAAAGACCACTCTCGTTTATATGTAAACCAGAATTACACCTACAAGACGTTGCGTTACATACTGCAGGAGGGGGAAAAAACAAACCAGAAATACACATTTAACATTTAGGAAAAAATGCAGAACTCCAGAGCTTCTAGGGCACTCACAATTTGAGGAAAATTATTTAAATCTTTCATATTAGTTTTTATTTCTTGTTGGTTATATAAAGGTTTTATGAAAGTTTCTCTTTTTCACTAGTGTTTACTTACCTCTTTCTGACGCTCTATAAATCGAACTTTCCTGTAGTCTTTATCATCATAAACCTGAAAAGAACCATATGTGACTTTTACAGCCTGATTCTGAAACAGGTCACTTAATAGCAATCGTAAAACTTACAGAAAAGTGTTTCTCTTAAGGTTTAGACCATTCACAATCAAACACATAAGGGGCAAAGTTGTACAACAAGGAGGTATTTTTCAGCAAGACACTTAAGACGACAAGGCAATAATCTGAACTGGAAGGTAGCAAGGTGGAGCGGGTGAGCACAGGGGAGAAATTCTGGCAGAGAAGGCACCCTGCCCCACCCCCAAGTCCTTTACATATGGCCGAAAGCTTGTGTCCCCTCTAAATCTGCTGCGTGACACTTCGACAATACAGGTACTTATTCTCTCATTTTTTGCCCTATGATTACAGTCTAACGCTGTTTCTGTGTTTTGGACTACAGCAGACTCTCAAGTTATTTAAATATATTAGCTACTATCACATCACACAAACATTAAAAAGGTTCGGCCCACAGAATCGGCAGTTCTGAGTCGGACCCGGAGCCTCCCCGCAGTGACCAGCAGCAACCGCCTCATTTTAGAGATCGCAGACGCTGAGGATGAGACCACATAATCTGCGAACACGCTAACTTCAGCACCGTGGCACCCGTTCCCACGCACGTCAGTTAGTGTGCGCGACAAAAGCACAGCTCGACCGCCATCGGAACGGGGGACCCACGCGGTACTCAGCCGCCAGTTTTCCGCGACCCCGACCCACGGACCAGGGCGGCGAGCCCGCGGGGGTCGCCTGGCGAGAGCAGGGACTGAAGGGCGTCCGTGGGCCTGGGGTCTGAAAGACTGGGGGCATAGGAAGGACCTGGGGCACTGGAGGTAGAGGAAAGCCGGGGGCCGAGCCGGGACTCCGCCCATTTGGACGCTCTCTGCGCCGCAGCGGTTACCTGGCCAGTGTGCGTGACCTTCTCTCCGGTCGGCGAGGTCCGCACCCCGAAACATCTGGCGCCCCGGGGCACGCTTAGCGCCGTAGCACCTCTCCGGCCCAGCAGCCGGCAGAAGGTCACCGCCGCCGCCATCTTGCGGCCTGACCTTTGACCCGGCGCGTCGGCGCGCCCGCGCCGGCGCATGCGCACAGCCTCCGCGGACCCGCGCGGTCGGGACTTATCGCGCCCTGGAGAGGCGCGCACGCGCATTGCGCTCTGCCAGGAACGGTGCGGCGTGTGAGGGTGAGAGTCAGGCCTCATCCCTGAAAAAGCGAGAAACTTTTCACACATCTTTAGCACTTAGCGGCTGCTCGATGATTCTTACCAGGGGAAGGGCAGAGGAAGATGCAAAATGAAGACGCATTGTTTGCATTCGATGGTCATCAATAATTATGGGGGTACATACATAACATGTTTTCTTTGCTGAAGAATCCCTCCTGGATATCCTGTTTTGGGATTTCTGCGGAAATCCAAGGAAGCAACCAGTAAAGCATAACCGATGTCATCCCCAACCCCAAGCGACCAGCCCCGGACAGGCCCACTGTTCTGGAGCACACCTGCCAGGACCCTAGCTGGCGTCCCGGCGCTTCCCGCCTCTGCTTTCATGGTCCTTGGAACCTCCTGTGCATACACCCGACGGGACAGGCGAGGGCAGGGGGTGCGCGGCGGGGGCAGACTCAGCTCGGAGCTGGGCTGAGGTCGTGCACTCCCCCTTCCCCAGGAGCTGAGGGCACCTACAGCCTGGACTCCACTCCGGGGAGGTGGAGAAGCCGGCAAGGTGATTAGACGCGAGAAGCCCTGAAAATCTGGAAAGGAGAGTCGCCCACAGACGAGTGCGCAGAGGCGGGCCCGGAGCTCACCTGGGCAGGTGCACCGTGTCTGCAGCGCACCTTCGCGTACACAGAAAGTAGATGCTGGGTTCGCGGACACGCCCCCGGAAGGCTGGTGTAGTGACTTAGTGGTGGAATCTGGGTGGTGGGTACGTGGGTGTATAGAAGTCTGTCAACTTTTCTGTTTGAAATGTTACATAATAAAATGTTGGAAGAAAAAAGACATTTAACAGAAACCAGTTAGGACTATTGTCTATTTCCACTCGTTTCCGTGAGGCTCGCCACCGTTTCCTAGGATGTCCGCATAATACAAGCATGTGCTTTTTCCAGATTTTGTTTTGACATTAGTATTTGTCAGTTTTTAAAATGTCTTCTTGGTTGTGACTTCTTTGTTGTTCCCATTTTTGCATCCTCCTAATAGCCCCCCGATCGTAGGAGCCAAGTGGCGAGTGTCGTTCTGGGTGGGAGGTGCAGAGCCCTGGGGAAGAAAGGCGGGCGGGGGAGGAGCCCGGCGTCCTCAGTCTCTGCGCCCACGGAAAGGGCCGCCACGTGACCCCGCCGCCATCTTTCTTTCTGGCGTAGACTCCTGGCAGCGGCGTCCCCGCCCCACTGCGCAAGCGCGTGCAGCGCAAGGCGCGTTGCTGAAGGGTCAGGGCTGGCTGGTTCTTCTCAGGTCAGAGGTCCCGGGGGTCTCCTTGGGCTGCGGGCCCTGGTGGCGGCAGGGCGCCGGGGTTCGGATCTCTCCTGGAGCCGCCACCCGGGCCGGGGCTGCGGGAGCACGCGGCCTTGAGACCCCGGCCTCAGTTTCCCCGTTGGGCCGCGGTCGGAGGTCGCGGGGACGGTGTGGGGCGAGTCTGTCCCGGACCTCGCGGGCGGTAGGCGAGCCCCGAGGGGTCCTTGCCGGTGTGGGGTCGAGGCCCGCGGCGGCCGCAAGCGCGCCTCCGCCCGGAATCGGCCCCGCCGCGGTTCGGTGCTGTCCCGGATGTTTCTACCCCGCCACCAGGCCAGCTCTGCCTCATCCTGTCCATCACCAAACCCGAGCGGGGTCGGACTGCGCGTAGAATCGGTGACCCCGCCGCCCTGAGGAGGTGGACCCCCCCTCCGAGACGTGGGCTCCGGGCCTTGCTGTCGCTGGTGTCGTGGGGACGGTGGCCTTTTCAGCTCCTAGGTGGCCGGGACCGGGAGCTCGGGGCTGGGGTCGGGGCTTCGTTGCCACCTTTCTTGACAGAGCAGGGCAAGTCAGCCAGCCCCTCGCCCTGGCTTAATTATTTCAAAGTGGGGACGGGGCGTCCGCGGGGGGCTCCCTCGCGGCCACGCCTGGGGCTCGCACAGAGGGCGGTATTGCTAAGTGCTCCGGCCGCCCCGGCCCCGCAGCGCGGGCCACTACGAGCTGTGACCCTCAGGGTCTGCGCGGCAGCGGGTGCGGGTGCGTGCGGGCTGCTGACCCCGCGCCTTGTGTGCCCAAGTCCAGGGGAGTCGGGAAAGGGAAGTTCTAAGTAGTGGGTGAAGCGCGGACGAAGCCGCAACAACTTTTTTCTTTTTTCCATAGATTCAGCCACAACATGGCAGCTGTTTTGATCGGGAAAATGATCGTTTCTGCCGTGAACCCTTTATTACGACTGAGGCGTTTCACGGCGACCCCCCGCACGCTCTCCACACTCCTGCTGGGTCCCCCTCGCGCCGCAGTTACAGCGGGGGCGGGTGCGAAGCCCAGCGCAGCAGCCGTGGCCTCCCTCCCCTCCTTCCGCCTCCTGCCCTGCCTGCAGCCCGCTCTGGGGTTCAAGACCAAGGGCGTCATCAAGAAGCGCTGCAGGGACTGTTACCTCGTGAAGAGGCGCGGCCGGTGGTTCATCTACTGCAAAACGAACCCAAAGCACAAGCAAAGGCAGATGTAGCTCCTTTTGCTGTGAAATCGTACAAATTAGGACATCTTTTTGAGAAATGGTGTCTGTCACTTATCCAAGAACAATTAAAAGTGCCGGTTCTGCCCTCTAACGTTGCTGCCAGTCGCGTTCTGTTGACTCTACTTTCCAGGCGCCTCACTCTCTCCAGGTCCAGCCAGAGTTCTAGGCGGGAAAGGCGTCATCTCACGTGCTTCTGTGTGTGCTCCGCCGGGACCGCGGGAAAGCCACTTTGTCCCCCCACATTAGAAAGCAAGTTGTTTAGAAAGAGCTAGACTCGGTCTGAAAGGCCATCGGGGAGGGGACAGCCTTCACCGGGTCTGCATGGGGTGGGCCGCTGCTCTCCCGACTCAAACACTTGTCCACGTTCCTGTCTCCGGTCCGGTGGGAGGCCTTGACAGCAGCCTTTAAGTCAAAGGCGATTTAATTGTTTACAGAAGTATTTTGGATATCCATTAAATATGTTTGTTGTCCTCGGTCTGAGACATGTGCGTGCACGTGTGTGGTGTGGCCGTGGGCACATGTGTGTAATGTGTGTGCGCATTATGTACCCCCTGTGTGAGCAAGAGGCCTGTCCTTTGGTGTGGAGACGGGAGAGCTCAGCAGTGCGGTGACAGCAGCGTGATCGGTCCCCGCTGACGGATGCGAGAGCAGCAGAGGCCTCCTGCCATGGTTGGGGTCTTGGCTCTGCTCATCCCTTGCTGTTGGGCCCTGGATGAGACGCTTCTGTTGAAGCTTTGAGTTTAAAAAGAGGCTGATTCTGCTCACTGCACCCCTCACGGCTCTGAGAACCCATTTCTCAGTCATGCCTTTGCTCTTGGCGTCTGCCACCGGGCCTGGTACACAGGAGGCACTCAGTAAATGAATGTGGACTCGTGATAACGCCTCCATGGGATCAGGCAGCCCCTCATCCTCTCTCCCCATTCAGACCCGGCCCATCCTACAAGGTCGAGCCCACGGCTTTGTCCTGAAGGGGTGGCCGACTGGTCCCGTCCGCAGGAACCCAGACGCCTCCGGCACTAGAGGTTGGGTGGTGAAGCTAGACGCTGGGTTTGTCCAGCCGTTTCACACATGTACGCACACATACACACGCGTACACACGCACACACACCTTACTCCTTTTGGACCATTTTCTCCTTTATAGGTAAGCGTGAGGTTCACTCTCTTGGTGCAGGCCCGGCTCTGCGTGGGGCATAGGGCGACCTGAGAGTCTCATAGGGCGATGGTGAGCTCTGAACTCGTCCCTCTCCTGGGATTGCGAGTCTGGTCCAGGGTTGCAGCACGGGTGCCCACCAGGCCCTCTCCCAGCTCTCCTTTCCGATGCTCGACGGACCAGCATATACGGCCCCATGACTCCAGCATGACCGGAGACTTTGCTTAAGTCAGGAGGCAGCACGTTAGAGTCCGTAGGCCAAATCCAGCTCAACACCCGTTTTTGTAAATAAAGTTTTATTGGCAAGCAGCCATCTCGTTCATCTCATTCATTTATGTGTTGTCTGTGCCTCCACAGCAGCTGGAGTGGTAGGTGAGAGGTTGCGACAAAGGTCACATGGCCTAAAAAACGTAAATGCTTACTATATGGGCACAAATTTAAGACGGAAAGTAAGGAAGAAATTAGTATTAATTGTCTTTCAATTGAACGCCTTTATTAGAGGCCAAGATCATTTAGAAAAGGAAAAAAAAGTGGTATATTATTTTCCCGTGGCTGCTGTAACAAATGATCAGATCTATGGCTTAGAGCAACAGACATGTGTCCCCCACCTGGCCCAGGATGTCCTTAATGACATCCACAAAGACCCTACTTCCCCACGAGGTCACATCCCGAGACATAGCTCTGGGAGAGGGGGACAATATCCAATCCACTACACGTCGTACAGGATGTTGCTGACGATAATTTTAATTTAAATTAGTGTTCGTGCATTCGCTCTGTTGGAAGCGCCGCAGAAGCTTCCCCTGGAACCCCGGACCCAGCTTCCCTGAGACCCAGCTCCGGAAACGCTGTCAGTCACGCCCTGCGCTCCCCGGGCAAGTCCCTGCGACTTCGTTCCTTCCCCTGTAGCACACTCGCCCCATACCTGGGACGCATCTGGACGGTGGCTAGGGCAGCCATCACAGGGCGTCCTCGTGCCCTTCCCCGGTCTCTCCGCCCCCAGTTTCTTCGGTAAGTTGATATAACATATCGTAAACATTATTTTTGACTTAGGGCATTTTTCTGCATCTATATACGATTTATTTTCTCTTTCCTTTTTTGATTTATAAAGCGTTTTGTCCTATTTTATAATTAGTGGTTGAGATTCCCAATGAGAAGCCAGTTATTTTCTTCTCCAAGTTCCTACCTGACACTTTTCTGTTTAAAAGGCATGGAAAAAATGAGGAATTTACAGAACAAAGAGCAGTGTTTTGCATCGCATGAGAAATTGACTTTGGCTGTCGCCATTCAGAACAGAGCTGTCAGGAGGCTCAGCCCTGTGACCTCAGGGGTCCAACCAAGCAGCCCCCACATGTGGGGCTCAGACAGAGTCTCTCTCCCGCCGCGGGCATCATGGAAGAGTCATTGTCCTTTCCTCGGCAAGCGACGTGTTTTTCCTTACACGGCGACGCCATCATACTAAACATAACACAAATCACTGTGCAGAAATCCTAGCCGTCCTTCCGAGCGAGGCTGTCTCCTAAGAGTTCTGTCTAACGGTATAATTGTTCTTTCAGGGGTTAGTAACGTGTAGTCACCTATTCTAAAATGAAGCCATGGCTCTTCGTTTACAACTTGTATTGTTTTTCAACCAGCACTATGCGACCTAGGATAAAGGAGTCTTCTCTGGCAAGTCGACCGCACTCTGTGACTCTTCGTTTATTTATATATTTACCCAAATATTTATTAGGCTTTTATTTTGCGCCACATCCTGTGCCAAACGCATGGTACATATGTGGATTTATGCATGAAAATAGTCCTGCCGGCTCACCCGACAACATGAAATCAGCTACACATTGTGTCCCCTGCAAGGGATGGGGCTGGAAATACCAGCGGTCTAAACAAGACATACGGCGTGTTGCCCGCGTACATCGAGGAAGGACATCAGAGGGCACGCTCCGGGTTTGGGTTTCTCGGTCTCTGTCCCCTCCATCACCAGCCATTCTTGGTGCTTGGTTTCGGTTTTCACTGCAACCTCATGGCACAAAATGGTGGCCGGAGCCCCAGTGGCTATGTCCAACATTCCAGGCAGTCAGACAGGAAAGGGCTAGAGGACAAACCAAACACCAGCGGCCCCTGGTCCATCTCATTGTAAGCAGCTCCCCAGAGTCACCCAACGGTGTCACTTCCTTGCCGGAGGCTGCCGGGTCAAGTGAAGGGGGGAGGAGACCCCACCGGCAGGTGTGCGCCGGGCTGGACAGGGATCTGCTGCTCACGCAGGGGAGGGAATGGACCGATGCCCACTCGCGGCGGCTCCCCGGCTCCGCTACTCCCCGGCTCCGCTACTCGAGTCCTCCATGCCCCCTGGGGCGGGTGGGACCCTCTCTGTGAAGGAATGCTTCACCCCCTCTCCGCGTGCGTTCAGCAATTTCATGGGATGCTCTAATGCTTTTTATGGGAAGTTTCATGTGACGTCCGCTGTGCGCGGAGCTGCCGCCTGGGAGAGGTCGGCTGGCCCTGCCCACGGAGGCCACTCCTGCTGCACAGGTTTCGTGGTCACCATCGTCCGCGGCCCCCCGGATAGCCGAGGCCGCTCTTGGGGTCAGAGGGCAAAGGGCAAGCTGAGGCCCCGGCAGCCTGGTGTGAACCACAGCGGAGCCTGCGTGCCGCATAGGGACCCCGGATCCCATCGGGAGGCGACCTTGGTTCCCCTGCTTGGGGGCCTGCTGGCGACTCTGTGGAGCCAGTTGACCAGCCCCGCCTGCCCCGGAACCACCCGGAGTGGGTGGAGCCCCGCGGGGAAGCAGGGCCTCGAGAAGAGGCACAGAGGGACAAGGACGAGCCGGGCGAGGCCACAGGCAGCTGGGATTTACCTGTGGGGACAGAGCAGGGCCACCTCTCGGTAGGAAGGAAGGAGAGGCCGGTCAGAGCCCTCCAGGGCGGCCCGCGGCCACCACGGGCGTGAGTGGAAAAGCCGCCCCGGCTGGGCCGCCCGGCGCCACGTGGCCACAGCTGTTCCCGGGTCCGAGGCGCGCGTGGCCTCGAGGTGAGCAGCGCCTGCGCCCCGGCAGACCCCCCAGGGTGCGTCAGCCGCAGACAGGCCCAGCCGCCGGGTGCCTAGCAGACCTCACGGCCGTTCCTTTCCTCTGCGGCCTGAGCCGGGCCCCCAGACCGCCCCTGGATTCGGGTCTGGAGAACAGGAGCCCCACAGAGGTGCGCGCTGTGCAGGCGTGGGCGGAGCCTCGGGGGACAGCGGTGGCAGTCCCACCCCAGGGGCCGCGTCAGGAGGGACCTGTTCAGGGAGTGGACTGCAGCATGGACACCGCGGGACCCTCGGGCCTGCAGGTCCACATTCAAGGCTGCAGTGTCACGGCCGAGCTGGTGGGAGCCTGCCCAGCAGCCAGCACTGACAGCAGGGTGGCTTGTCAACAACCTGTGTGGCTGCGCCCGGGACACCAGGGCCTGCCTGGCAGCTCCGGCCAGGGCCACCTGCTCGGCTTCTCAGGTCTCCCTCTGGCCGCTCGTCCTGGGGGCCTTCAGGGCCCTGTAGGACGGTCAGTGGCCTTGAGGCCATCACGTGGCGAGGCAACTCAGAGAGAGATATGCCTGAGGAGCCCAGGCGTGGGTCTGGTCTCTCCTGCAGGGTGCCTAGTGGGAGATGGCCCTGCCACCGCCACACCTGACGGCCAGTGTGGAGACCCAGACCAGCGCCGCCCTGCTGCACCCTGCCCCCCAGACGTGGGGACCGAGCGAGGCCGCAGCACTCAGATCTGGCACACGCCCAGGGCTGTGGAGCGAATGTGTGTCCCCAGTTCCCAGGCTGCGCCCTGCCCCCCAGTGCGAGGGTGTTTGGAGGCAGGGCGCTGGGGGGTTCAGTTTACGTGAGATGATGAGGTGGGTCCTGGCCTGGTGTGACCAGCGCCCTTATCTGGAGAGACGCCAGAGCACGCGCTGTCAGTGCTGTGTGGGGACGTGGCCTGGGCCCTCTGCCAGCCCCCAGGGGCGCTGACCATTTCCCATGTACAGCCTCCGGAACTGTGAGAAATACATGAGCGTTGCTTCGGACCCCCTCTGGGGCTTCTGCCACGGTCCCGGAGCTAAGAAGCGTCACCCCCTACCGGCTAGTAAACTCGGAAGCCACGGGGTGCTGGCTGCGGGCCGTCCTCGTCAGACCCTGCCCTAAGCCTCTCGCCACCTGTGCACACAGACCAGCCAGGAGGGTCAGCGACGGTCCACTGTCCCCCACTGCGACGGCAGGGAAGCACCAACACCACACCCCAGACGCGCGGGGAGGCCCGGGGCCCCTCCTGGCTGGCAGGTGTCTCCCCTGTTCACGCCTGGCGCCGGCCTGGCC